GTAATGGATGCAAGAGACTATTACAAAAATGCCATTATCATTAAATAAAGAAAAAAACAATTGAGGCGTGGTTAGATCTGGAGGCCCATGTGGTAAAATTGGAAGTGGACATCATCCCCGTTACCCAATCGATGGCCCAAACTGTAAATTTGGGCCCACAGTATGGTAACCACTACTGGCCCAAACAGTTCGGTTGGGCAGTTGCCACGACAGGACTGGCAACGTGCCCAGCCCTAGTGGTGGGATATTCCTCATTTGCAAAAGAGATAATAATAAAGCCACGGTTCCATTGACTATTTTCAAAATAAAAAAATAATAATAAAGCCACAGTTAAAAGTCCCTTAACTTTTATATAGTCTCTTATTAGTCCCTCAATTCAAGAAATTTCCTTTTTAATCCTTAACATTATTTTTTTTTTTGGCTCCTTTTAAGTTCATACAATAAATTTTTGATGATGTGGTAAGCTAATCAAGAGATTTATCCTTTTTTTTATTATTTTTTTTAAAAAAGTTACATGTAAATTTTAGTTTCTAAACTTTTAATTTTAAATATTTTTTATCTCTAAATTATTTAAGCAATTTTTAGTTCCTTAAAATGCACTATTTTTTGCCCATCTTCCAATTAAATGATAATAAGGCCATTAACTCATTTAAAAATTCATTTTCCTTCAAAGTTTTGGTGACTTGTTCATAATATATGAGTCTCACTAGAAATATTTTTGGGCTCTTTGAATCTACATAAGTTAATTTAATGATGTGTCATTAATATATCATTAGAAAAGTTTCATTTTGGAAGGAGTTAATAGCCATACCATACTTAATTGACGGAGGAGCAGAAAAAAGATACCTTTTAGAATGGAAGGTAAAAAGAAGGTTAAATCTTTAAATTGATTCATAAACTATTATACGGACCTCCGATTTGATTTTTAAATTAAAAAAATTCTTGATTTGATCCCTAAACTATTGTACAAACCCCGATTTGGTTCATATTGTTTACCAATTTACCCCAAGTTGGTCATTCCATACAAAAACTAATAGACGTGTCTTGCTATTAATGTGATACGTAACCTTTAAGTTATTGTTTTTCATCATTAAGTTACTATTTTTCATTGTTAAGCAAGGACACGTTAATTGTTTTTTGTACGAAATGACCAACTTGGGGCAAATTGATAAACAGTCAGGACCAAATTGAGGTCTGTACAATAGTTCATGGATCAAATTGGGGGTTTAACAAAAAAAATGCTTAAAATTGTTTAAGGAACAAAGGTATTTAAAATTAAAAGTTTAGGAATTAAGATTAACATTTAACCTTTAAAAGATGACATATAATATGAAACATTTTATAGATGATGACATGACAATTTATTTAAACAAATGTAATCTTCAATGACGCGGAGTACCTATTTGTAGAACATAAAAATTTAATTATAAAAACGTAAATTGTAAAGTTATCCTTAACCATCCTTCAAAGTTGTCCGTTATGTGGCCGTTACCATCCGTCACCCTTTCCTAGCAAGCGCCAAGCAAACGTTCCTGGCCTATACTCTGGATCTGCCACCATATAAGGGAACAAGTGATTCTCACCTGCTTCGTGGGGTATTGATAATTTAATTGAGTATTTTATTTTAAATATTAATAAAATGTTTTTTGCTTTAATAATGACCATTCAGTTACCCTTAAAGCAGTCTTAGCAAGGAAAATAAAGAACAAAGAAGTAAATAGCACAAACTACTCCTAAATCAGCAGAGCCTTCAAAGACTAAGAACAAAGCTGGAGTCGTTCCTTTACATGATGTACATTGTTAGCAATCATTTGACAATGCCATTATTGCAGGGATAAGATATAATCTTGAAGTTTAGAAACCTCATTAAAATCATAATTTGAGGAAGAAAAAGCCTCAACGATCTTCATTGTAGGTTTAGGGAAATTCTTAGTTACTTTTGAGATATATTATTTACCCTCTTCATGGATTTCTCTTGCTATCTTAAATTTCGTTTGAGAACACTTCTCGATGTATTATTATTATTATTATTTTTTATTATTATTCTAAAAATATATAAAATGTTAATTAAAATAAATATTAAATATAAAAAACATATTTTATATATTTTTAAATGTTAAAGGACTAAAAA